CTCCTCCATCTCCATCACGGCTTCTTAACCCTTCCCCCTGTTTTTTTTCTTGTAACATTCCGCTTTGTGAAGCAGGAGAGAGATTTCCAGGAAGGGCGGCTGTACGCAAAGCTAACTAGCCATCTTTCCAAGTCAGCCACTTAAAAGGGCGCATAGGTTAACTAAACTAAAGAGGAGGTCTCTGTGCAAGTCTCTTACCCCTCTCTCCCAGAGCGTTCTTGGGCAACGCGCTGAGCACTGCTGCATGCGTTTGATTACATTGGGGCAACTTGGATTACCGTGTCACATATTATCCGAGTTGCTAACTGCATTGCAAATGCTGGAATTGTCTTTTACGTAGACCTAAATAACATCAGTCTCTTTGGGCAACGGCCTTCGCTTGTTTACACGGTTTTCATAAACAGGATATTAACAATTTGTAAGTCTCCTGACGGAAATCACTCAGCTGTACTTGCAAGCTCACAATAGACCGGTTTGATACATGCACGTCTGCAGCACGTCTGTCTCTACTAAAACCTCACTGTTAACATTACACAACTGTTACTGACCACAACAATTGCCTCTAATTGTACGTACCAATGCTTCTACTTCATGGCTTCTACAAATCGTTTGTGGAATGGGTACATCCTTAGATGCTGGGAAACTACAAATCAAAGAAATAGTACGTTACTGTTGTCATCATTTTCCACAGGCTTACGCTGTGTAGTTCTCATTCCGGTAGAGAAAGCAAGGGAATTACACTTCTCTGAATTCTTGTTGCTACATCCTACCTAGAGGTAGGGGATTTTTTTCCCTTCGTAAAAACTTCCTCTCCAGCTCAAAGACGACAGTGACACAGATGTATACACACAGACAAATATATAGTTTTCTTAGGAATTCCTTTGGTGTTGCAAAATAGGCTGCTTTGATCGTCAATAATTAGATACCTGTCCAGAATCCTGCAGATTTACTGCAGAAAATCTAGAGGTACTTTTCAAAAAGAAGTCGTAATGCTAACCTCTCACGTTTTAGCAGTCCACCTCAGAGCACAACCTCTCAGCAGAGTTACAGAGAGGCCGAGAGCTCCTTCTAAGTTAAATACTGTATTAAGAGCAATGCATGCCTACCCCGGTTGGCACATACTTCACTAAGTAGCTAGCTCTGGGGGATGGAGGAGTTGCCTTCACGCAGAGGGAAGCTCCAGCTTGGAAGCTAACAGAGGAACAACACTAAGTACCCTTGGTGTAGAAGCACCAAGCGGTGTCACTCCTAATCCACATGCGAATAACCCGCTGCTGGGAGCACACTGATGCTAAGTAGTCCGACAGTATGTCCTTAGCTCCAAAACAAGTGCCTTAAAGAACTGTAACTGCAGGCTACAACTGTGCTAGCATAAGGTCAGATGCCAGTAAAGCATTCGAGAAATAATAGTCGACCCAACCTTAAATACTATTTGGGCAGGTGAGGGAGTCCTCATAAGAATGTATATTGTTGCTGTCTCCAAACACGTTGCATCTAAAAGATCTTGTCTCAGCTACCTGGTGCCCTCTGAAGTTAAGAGCTATTTCTTACCAAAGCCGTGGGGTCTGCACAGGACACAGAACCTAACACTGCCCCCATGGACTTTAATGCTTCTCTCAGTCAAGCTGGTTTCCCCCAGCTCCCACATCCCTATCTCTGTCGTACCCTTGACCAGAAAACACGTACGGCCTCCCATCCAAGATGCTATTTCCCACACAGAGATACTCAATCAAGCCATGCACTGCAGTAAAAGCTGTCTGTCCAAGCCAGCCCAGCTTACTGTCCTTGATGCAGATCGTTCTGA